GACAAGAGTTGAGCCAGAGGATGGCATCTGGAGGCTCCATATTTCTGGCCAACTCCTCTGGAGCCCAGAGAGCCAGGGCAAGGGGAGGTGGGGAGGGGATGGCCACAAGCCATGCTGTGATCTTCACCAGGGCTCAGCGGGTTTCTGGAAACAGGCGGTCCATTTCTGGCACGCTAACAATTCTAGCCAGACCTTCCTGGCAAATGCCTTTTTATTCCTGCTCTGCAGCTGGTCACAAAGGGTCAGAGGGACCTCTGGTCAGAGGGATAATTTTTGGATGACAGCATAAATCCTGGTGCTAAACCAGTTTACACTCAACAGGCTACATTTTAATTTTCTTTGCCTGATGCTGAGGTCTTTTCAGAATTTTAACAGATCTTTGATTTTGTATTGATACAACAATAGAAAGGCAAACTAAATTACAAAGATGCTGGAATTCAATGACTTAACAAAAGGACATGCCATTTGCTCTATAAAAAGAAAACAAGTTGCTTTTTTCCTCTTAAAGAACAGAGAATATATGTATAAAATGTACTTCAAAATGGAATGCCCAGGGAATTTTTCCTTTATGTAACTCCTACTTAAGAAATCAATATCTATACCTGGAAGAGGAACAAAAAATGACCACCCTCCCCCAGCATGAATAGTTTTCAATCTTGGCTGGTCAAAGGAATCACCCAGGAGTTTGAAAAAACAAAACAAAACAAAACACTGCGACCTGGGCCCCATCCTCAGGGATTCTGATTTAATGTGTCTGGGTTGAGATTCGAACATGGGCATTTCCAAAGCTGCTTAAGTGATTCTAATCTGAGGTCATGGTTAAGAGTTGCTACCCTAGATGCTGTGAGGGATTCATGGAGGCAAATGCCATTGACAATTTCAAGCAGAAAATCTACCATCTTACATTTTTGCAGAGGGAGAATGCTCTGGGGAAGAAAAGATTTGAACATGAAGTGAAGAGATGCAGGTTTTGACATGGGGTTGGTGGCTTAAGTTTTCAGGATCTAAATTTCCTTAATAGGAAAAGGATGCCACTCTATCAGAAGATTTCTAAGCCTCCTTCCAACTTTGACATTCTCAGATTCCAGGTCTGTGGTTTGTAATGCTGTTAAAAAACACACATGCTTTGACCATCCCTGCAGACACGTTCATCTGATTGGTCTGAGGCAAGGCTGGACATCAGTATTTGCAAAAGCTCCTCAAGTGATACTGATGTGCAGAAGAACTGAGCATCACTGATCTATGTTCTCCATTGAACCAACTTCAAATGAAGTTGAGTTTGTACATGATTGTGTGTGTGCATGCGTGTGTGTGTGTATATAGTGTGTACATAAATATGCTTGGGGGTGTCACACCAGCTGAGAGTGATGGGAATTCACACTCAGCCTTGTATTAATTCAGAAACATGGAAGTAATGCGAACACATATGTCCATGCTGTCTTAATTAGTCCCTGCTGGTTGTTTAGTTCACATGATGGAGAAATGATGCCAGATGTCTGGGATTCTGGCCCATTTTCATTCCCTATTGGCTTCATAGGAATGAAAACAACAGGTAAGATGGCCTGCAACAATAATAATGCCCAGCATCTAACACTCACACACTACTTTAAAGCTCACCTAGAACTTTACATACATGATGGCACTTTATCCTCCCAAGACACAGATCAATTTTCTTTCCAGAGACAGAACATCCAAGACACAGGAGAAACCATCTTCTGAAAGAACATACAACTGAAAGGTGGTGGATGCCAATATTCTAACCCAAACTTCTGAACTTCACATTGCTCTTTCCTTTATTTATTCCACTTCCTGAACCCATGTTGACTGTACCAAACCATCCATAGGAGGCCAGTCTGTTGGAGGAGTTGGGGGAAGGCACTATCTTTTTGGGGATTAGGAGTAAAGAGAATCAGGCTAATGGTGCTGATTTTTCCTCTACACTCTATGGAGAGTCAAACCAAGGGTGTTCCCTTTGAAGGAAGGCAGTTAACCTTGGTGAGAGGAAGAAGAGCAGGGCGCAGGCCAGATGTAAAACCCATGTCAAGGAAAGAGAACCCAAGCAAGTCAGTTCAAAACTTGGCTGTCATCTTGATCTTGAACAGTCTCATTATTCTGGACTTTTTCTTCCCTTCTAGAAGTCAATGATAAAGTAAATAAAAAGATAATCTTCGGGGACTTCTCTGGTGGTTCACTGGTTAAGAATCCGCCTTCCAATGCAGGGGACATGGGTTTGATCCGTGGTCAGAGAACTAAGATCCTACAACCTCAGAGTGACAATGCCTGCATGCCACAACTACTAAACCCTCGCACCACAACTGCAGAGTCTGTGGCCACAATGAAAGAGCCTGCATGGCACAATGGAGATCTCATATGCTAAAACTAAGATCCAAAGCAGACAAGTAAATAAATAAAAGATAACTTTATTTAAATTATTATCATAAATAAATGAAATGATAATAAATGAAAATTTATCATTTTTTTAAAAAAGGTAATCTTCAAAGTAGAGCCAAAAAGAAAGAGCAAGAAACCGACATACAAAGATTCTATAGAATATAACCAAGCTATGTCAGGTTGGACTTATAGGTTTAAAAACTGCCTTGAAGAGGCTCAAAATTTTCTCAAAGTTCTCAGCTTCTAAAGGCATGGTTTGCCACCACCTATAGAAAGAAATCAACATTGTGCTGAGTCTAATTCTTTGCCCATTAATTCAGGCACTTCTCAAAGAGATCACTGCTGATGTTCTCATATACTTATGTGAAAGTGAAAGTATTAGTGACTCAGTTGTGTCCAGCTCTTTGAGAGCCCATGCAACCTGCCAGGCTCCTCTGTCCATGGGATTCTCCAGGCAAGAATACTGGAGAGGATTGCCATTCCCTTCTCCAGGGGATCTTCTCGACTCAGGGACTGAACCCAGGTCTCCTGCAGTGCAGGCAGATTCATTACCATTGGAGCCATGTGACAGAAACCAAATTCAGACTGATTAACAAAATGAAGCAACAGAGGAAAATTCCAGGGAGCCACACATGAAAGCATTTCATGGGGGCAAAACACGTTTAGAAAACCATTAAAAAAAGCAACGTGAAGTTTTTAACGTAGTTGGCATTCAGCATGTGAGCAAAGAGCCGGTGCCGGTAATCTAGTTTATGCTGTGTTTGCCCTTGAGGACATAAATTAAAATTTCAGCATATAGAGAGGTTTGCAAAAGCGTATACTGAGAGGTAGGCCATGGACCTTATCTTCAAAGGGTTATAAGTCTCTCCACTTAGCTGAAATAGCAACAAGATCACTAATTGTGCATGAGATATATTTAACACTGAACATTTCCAACTCCTGAACAGAAGTAAAATTAGTCTATTGAGGCTGCCTCATAAAAATCGTTTTAGAGCTACAAAACAATTCTGAGGTTTTAGTCATAATACTACTTGGAGCTTCCACAAGAAGGATTTGGAGACTTCAAATTAAAATATAATGAATAGGTCTAAGCTTCTCCACTAAACACTTGAAAATTAAGGCTTAGCAGAGTGCTATGAAGGCTTGGTTTTATCCCTTAATTCAATAGCCCTCCCGCCTCACCTTTTTCCACTTCAAAGGGATTCCTGTGTACGAAAAGGCACAAGGAAATACAGAGCGGATGAGGGTCAAGTAGTTTATTATGAACATCTATTCAATATGGTTAGATGCCATATAAAAAGCGTATAAGAAACAAGGTCATTTTAATAACAACTGGGCTACCTATTTTATGCGCCTGATACCTTGAACTGGTGTTGGCTAGTTGTGTGACTATCCAGACGTCAGATTTAAAAAAAAAAAGAAAGAAAAGACAGAATTGAACTTCTCTTCTTGTTAAAAATTTCCCTTGGAAGGCACAAGTAGCCTGAGTTTTGGAATCAGGCAATTTAGGGATTTGTAAAATGAAAATGACTACACCTCTCTCGACAGAGGTGACGATTAAATTGAGCTAATGTGTATAGAACACTGCATACAGTGCCTTACAGATTGGGAGTTTGGGGTTGACATGCACACACTGCTATATATAAAATGTCTCTCCATAAAAAAATAAAGGATGTGTTAGGCTCAGAATATTAAAAAAAAAAAGACAAAAGCTCAATAAATGTTATTTTTTCCCTTTCCTCCAATTCTGTTCTAAGTTGTAATGACCTAGGCAGAAATTTAGTCCTTCTTATCATGATATAGTGTATTTCTCCCAGCTAGCATAGATTTCAAGCAAGAGTGCTTAAATTAGTTTGTGTTCCTATGTTCTCAGTTTCCTTAAAAACAGGTCTGTGTTAATTCACCACATGGTAATTCTTCAGTTTTTATTGGTAACAGTTGGTGTTCTGGGTAGCCCTGAGTTCTCTACTTAATATTCTATAAATGAAGAGAATTGATTCTAATGAAACATTTGATGTCAGTAACTTTGTGAGCACAGGTAGAAACAAGAAACAAACAGAATATGGTTTCCCTTTTCATCCCTCAACCTTGGTCACAGACTCTGTCCTCCTCTCTGGGTTAGATGACATCTGATCCTACTCCAGGGCGGGGAAACCCAATCACGGCTCTTGGGGTGGTTTGCTGTCCACAGGCTCAGTATCTGCCCCAGATCTTGATTAAGCTATCTCTCGACATTTCCTGATGACCATTTAAGAGGGGTGGGCGTTTCTCCTTAAATGCAAACTGTCTCTGAACTTTCTAACACAGGATGATCCATTTCCTAAGTCTGATATCTTGAACTGCTGTTGGCTAACTAGGTGGCTATCTAGAAATTTCACTAGAAGCACCATCTTTTTTTAAATGGAGAAAGCCCAAGCAGTGATGAGGAGACCCAGCTGGGCCCAGACAGACATTGCTCAGTCAGTGGAAAGGGGTTGCAGTGAGCACTCCATGACTGCTATGAAAAGCTTACTTAAACACAAACGTACATTATCTGACATGTTGCAAGTCTTTTACATTAGAAATGGAGAAGCAAATGAGTGGTGGTGTAGAAATGCTGAGTCGCTCACCTGCCCGGGCTGTTCACAGGCTGTCTGGTACCTTGCCTGCTGGCACAGTTCTTTGACCCTCTCATATTTAGGTAAGTGATTGGACTGTTGGATATTCTTGTTTGATTCCTCCTTCTTACGTAGAAATTTCCTTTGACAGAAAGAGAAAAGCTTGTGTGAGAAGTGATCTGAAATGACTTTCACAGTGACCTGCCTGTTTTTTTTTTCTTCCCTGTCACATGACTCCACACTCTCCAAAAAGCAATAAATAGTTATCAAGTCTCTACCCACAGGAACCCAACATTTCATGAATCCTTTGGGAAAATTACAAGCTGGGAATTATGAAGATGAGAGATCAGGGAAGGAAGAATCACTTCCTCCAAAATCTTCATTTCAAAACTTTGGACATAAATATTTAGTTTTATAGGCTCAAAGTTCATTTTTGTTAAAAAGCAATGATAGTAATGTTTTTCTCTTGCCTAGGGTAAGTATGGAGAAAAACAAAGACAATGGACATTACAAACAGAAATGACTCTGGAACAGTTATTAATACAATCTCATCTATTTGTCAATTCAAAACTAGGAAAGGCACATAATGGAAAGGAGTGGAAGGACATCAGGCAGAACTTGGGAGGGATAATTGAGAAAGTCAATTAACCGGTCCAGTTAGGAACTGAGGTGGAGATAAGCCATGGGAATCCACAGCCTCATAAAGACTGTGGTCCCATCTTTGCAATTCTGACTCAGCTATCATTACTCTGCTGGCCAGAGGAGGATGAGTCTTATGACTAGGTTTTCGAAATCCACACGCTTAGTAAACCAAAATAAGGGGGAAAAACATTCCCAGCAGGGAGAGCTGCCCACAAAGACTCGTTCCCAGAAGCACCCCAGGAACCAATAATTACCCTCTTTCCACAAGGAATGTATCACGCCAAATTTTGACCTTCTTGTTTGTTCGAAACCTGGAAGCAAAGTAATAATATTTACTGTTGGCACTGGGACACTTTTCCAAACGGATCTGTGCTAACAGTTTATTTAAAGCAACACCTCTCGCTTCCCGCAGACCAGGACAGCATCTCCATCAACACGCCATTCACAAACAGCTGAGGAGGCGCTCAGCTCAGGGTGATCCCTGGGGGTGGAGGGTATTTTGCCTCCACTTCTGCTGGCTGCTGGCTGGCTCTGGGAGCTGGTGTGCTTGGGGCTGGCTGAGGGGAAGGAAACTGACGCACCTGTTACCTGGCTTTTCCTGGTCCAGAAGTTTGAGTACAGACTTGCCGTCTATGTCAGGAGGTGCGTCGAGCCCCGCGATGTCCAAGATGGTAGGGGCCAGGTCAATGTTTAGAACGATCTGTGGGACTCTGTGAAGGGACAAGATGGTCACGCCTGGGACCCAGCACCAGTGGAGGGCCCCACCAGGGCTGTTTTTTCCCATCCCAGTACTCCCTGGCCTTCACTGCTTCTCAGCCTCTCATCTGGTTGCCTAGGAGTGGTGGTTGATTCTGGGAGGTGCCTGATTGCTCAGCCACTGGGACCAAGAGAAAGACTGACTGTCACAGGGGTCAGGTTGGAGACAGGCCTGTCCCCCTGAGCTCTGGCCACACCTCGGACAAATTGTGGCCCGATGTTTGGCTTTTGTAGGCTGTATATTTTCTTCTGAAACCTGAGAGTCCATCCCTCCTCTGTTGAATTAGGGCTTTGAAATCAATCTTCTGCAAAAGGCCACAAGGTTTTTATACTTGAATTCAATGCATGCTGCCTAGCCTTTCAAACATAAAGCCTCCCAACTCTAGATCCAACGCTTCCCCAGGAGTTTCCAGTGACCTGGAGAGAGACAACGCATGTGAGCATGTGTCTCCTCTGCATGTGTCACCCAGTCGTGTCCAGCTCTTTGTGACCCCGTGGCCTGTAGCTCCCCAGGCTCCTCTGTCCATGGGATTTTTTTCAGGCAAGAATACTGGAGTGGATTGCCATTCCCTCTTCCAGGGGATCTTCCCGAACCAGGGGTCGAACCCGCATTTCCTGTGTCTCCTGCATTGCAGGTGGATTCTTCACCTGCTGAGCCATCCAGGAAGCCCGGAAAGACACAATAACATTCCCCAAAAAGGCCCTTCTTATTGCCATCACTTCCTCCCCAGCAGGCACTGGATGCGGCAGCAGACCAGCCACGGAGATGAGACTCGGATGATCTGGCATCTGGGCCCCACTGCTGTCACATCCAGGACGGGGGGACTCAGAGAGGCGTGCGCACCCTGTCTGTGCAGCTTCTTCATTGTGAAATCAGGGGTCCAGATGGGATGCTCTTGAAGGGTCATCCCAGGCTTTCAATTCTACTTGTGCTCTTTTCTTTCACTCTTTCTGTAACTGTTTCATGTACAGGATCTCATTTTATACCACACATTCTGATGTACTTGGCGGGGCATACAAAACCCATCTATGATGGGAATACTGACATGCAAAGGGATGCAGTGATTTAAGATGACAGAAATGGTATTCCAGTCCTTCAGGCTTCTTTTCTTAAAATTCATTTAAAGTTCATTGAAATACATTTTAATTAAATAAAATGTACCTAAAATTATTTAAAGTTCTTAAAATTTAATTTCCTTTAAAAATTCTTCAGTAATAATTTTTTAAAAAAACAACCAAGAGGATGGTACTGGTTATCGTTTTTAAAAAAGATTCAAAGAAAGTAAGGATGATATACCTAAAATCACATTCTATGTCTGTGTTCACAGTCTCATGGATTCTGGTCGGTTTGAGAGAGTTAATCACTGATACAGTTATTTTTCTTTTCTCTTGAAAGAGTAGACATTAGTTAATTTAGCATGTGGCAGGGTTGGGGGAGGGGTGGGGCAGGCGAGAGGTTTCGTCTTCTAAATAATGAACCTACACTCACCCTTTTTTGTTTGGACTAAAGGAAACCAGACCCTGAGATTGGTAATTGAATTATCTCAGACATACACGAGTTATGACAGTTGAATGTTGGAAACAGAGAAATACGTACACGGATCCTGGTTCTACACTTGGCCCACGAATAAAGAAAGGCACGCGGATATCAAAGTCATATGGCATGGATTTCCCCTTGACCAGTCCAAATTGCCCGATATGGTAACCGTGGTCGGCGGTATAGATGATGTAAGTGTTCTCCAGCTCACCCGTTTCCACAAGCATATTATATAGCTGAAACACAGCACAGACCTCAGTCAGAAACAACTGTGATGGCATAAGATGACAATAATGCCACCATGATTCCCCTCAAATCTTTTTTCCATTATTTTTAGAAGGCAAGAGTTGCTTTAATAGGGCTGACAAACATGTATGTTTATATACATTTTTCAAGTAGCCTGCAATCCTGGAGGGAAAAAGTCCAGTAATACAGTTGATTCTTATATAACATATAACTTTTCTTAATCTGGCTTATTTTTGCCTATTTGAAAAAAAAAAACACAAAACAACCTCTACCATCAAACTTTAAGGTTTTACTTTGAAAAATCCATTTTAAAGCAAATTTTACTATCATCCCTCATATTTAGTTACCAAAGATTAAAAACAGGCTACTTCTGAGCCTGATCCAGTTACATCCAGCCTTTAGGCACGTCTTGTTTGGTTTATGTTATCTTTTAAAATTCAGGAAATTTCAAATACATTTTTTGTATTTTTTGGCTTCTTTTAAAAGTCAGAAGACTTAATACTGGATCCATATTTTCACATGACCAAAATTAGTTGAAGCTCCTTGCTTTAGATGAGGGAGTTTAGATTCGAGTTCACCATGATCCTCACCATGCCCTATCACCTTATACTCGATCTGTTTTAGCTATCTACACTATTTGCTTAATTCCTGAAGGTATTTGTGGAGATAATCCTTGATTTATGATGTCATGATTTGTATAATATCTCCTTTTTGCTACTAGCTCCATAAGAACCAACCCTAGAAAGAGAATAAGATGGGGGGGGGCGTGGATGATGAGTTCACAGAGTACCCAGCCCCCCACACTCTCTTAAAATGAAAAACAACTACTACTATAAAAACAGGGTTGGCAAGAATGCATCTACACAAGGGAAGCTGGACCAAAACCCATCCTTAGGGCAGGTTCATGGGCTTACCCTTTCCACAGAATCATCCACTGACATCAAAGTTTGAAGCCGTTTGCGATGTAGAACGTTTGTGAATTCCATGTGGATGGGCAGCATGGGTCCCGTGTACTGCATAATCCAGTGTTTGTCCATATTGGGCGCATAGTTATAACTAGGAGTTCTGCAAATATCCAGAAAGGAGTCTTACTATATATGCTTTTTAGTCACTTAGAGAAACATCTCATGCTAAAAGTTGTAAAATAACCATTTATGAAAGAATTTAGACACAGCTAAAGAATTTTTCTCTCCGGTACATCTCTGTGTTTGTAAAGAGATTTCAAGTCTGCACCACCCAGACCACATGAGTTCTCTGAAGGTGTATGGGTTCAAACTTATAAAACCAAGACTGGCAGTGAAAATCTAATTAGTGCAAGTTCACTGAGGTTCATTGAATAAAATGTAAAAATACCTCGAGACGATTGTGATCATGTTACAAATTTACAGATAAAACTCAGTAATGTAGAAGGGAATGTTCTCATGGTGATGTTAACTCGTAAAATTTTACTGCTAATTAGGCTATTAAATATAGTCACTAATATGTTACATGCAATGATGAAGAATCATAATTTCAACACATTTTATCTCTAGAATTTACTAGGGTATTATATTGATTACTTACATATCTAGTCTCTGCAAATTTTTCTCATTCCTAACCTCACATATAGATACCATCAATTTATTGGATTTGCTGGAATTACAAGCAAGTCTACTACAATATACATGTTTGTCAGTAAAGCTGTTCATTATAGACAAATTAATATAGGTGCAGGCATAATTTTTGCTAACTATAGGGAAGTGAGTCCTATTGTTCTAAGACAGGTGGTTCAAGCCTATATTTGATCTATGGAGATCTAAGTGGTGCCCATACTTCCCTTTGGGGACCCATAAAGTACATCACCTTCTCTTTGACGTCCTCCCCAACTCCCTGGATCATAAGATGCTGCCACTTCACACTCGAAAGAACATATCTATGCTAGAATATATCTATGCTTTTCACACTGAGAATTGTTTGTTTTTCATTTGACCTCTCCATCAGACTATAATGTGCTTGAACTTCCTCCTTAGCTGATAAGCCTATGAAAGTCAGTCACTCAGTCATATCTGACTCTTTGAGACCCTATGGACTGTAGCCCACCAGACTCCTCTGTCCATGGAATTCTCCAGGCAAGAATACTGGAGTGGGTTGCCATTTCCTTTTCCAGGGGATCTTCCCGATTCAGGGATTGAATCTGGGTCTCCTGCATTGCAAACAGATTCTTTACCGCCTGAGCCACCAGGGAAGCCTATAAACATTATTTAATAGTGAAAACTCAGTATTTACCATGGGTCAGGGATTGTGCTAAGGGTTTTGTTCACATCTTCTCATTTAATTAGCTCAGCTCTTGTTGGAAATAGGTTTATCATTCCCATTTTACAGGTGAGAAAACTGAGGCTTAGCAAAGTTAATTTTCTCAGGTTAACAAAACTAGCAGGGAATCGAACCAGGACTTGGTTCCAAAGCTCATTTGCTTTAACAAAACGAAGGGAAAGTAAAATGACGGGGGCTTCCTGCACCTGAGGTTGCTCTTCATGTGAACCACAACTGTGCAAATAGCCAGTCTCTTAGAACAAGAGATCGTCTAGGCCGATCGAGGAATCTGATTACCGCTCTCTGTTCTGGGGAGGAGCCTATCAGTGAAAGACAGTGGATAATGATGACTGCAGAAGACCCGGTGACATTGTTTACATTATAAAACTAGAGAAACAGTCAGTCACTGTGAGCTGGTGAGTACAGGAGCCTCGAACATGTTCCACTCGTTCCGTCATGGAGCGAATTTGCTATCGAGGAAACCTGGAGTTTCTGAGCTGCGTGACTGAACACAAGAACATGGGGCTTTCTATATGCCTCCTATTACCATACATTTTCTTCCACCAGCAGATTTGCAGCGCTTCTCTTTTAGTAGCTGAAAATGCTGTTTTGGTACCATTGGCCTTCCTGTGCAGAAAGTTACCCTGGTGATCTGTATGGATGCTGGCTGGTTAACGAATGCCAATATAACACCTCCAAACCTGTCTGTCTATCTGTCTATCTATCTATCATCGATCTCTTTAAAGTGCCCAGAACAAAGAAGTACCTGAGCTTCCTACATGAGCCAATAAACAAATGTATTCTATGTAAGGATCTGGGTTGAAAAAAAATTCATGACATTAAATAAACAAATTTTCAGATATCACTTGCCATTCTTTATCAGAGAAACTATCAGCACAAACTTTCCCCTGCTCACCAAGCAGACAACTCATGAACTGAATGGTCCCACTTTTGGTCTGAAAGGGTTCTTCGTATCTCAGATTGCACCACAGACCAAATGAGACCCTTGTATTTCAGAAGCCTGGGCAGTAGGAAAGGACTTAAGCCCAGGTTTCTTATTCTTAACGCAGCGTGTAACCTTACAAACAGGATTAGAGGAAGAGACCGAAGAGGAGGAGGAGAGAAGGGGGAGCTTCTAAATCCCAGAGGAAAGAGATTTTCACCATTGGGGGGAGTTTGAGGTCAGAGAAATAGAGCAAGCTGGTCACGAAAGGTCCTTTACCACTTACTGATACGTGCCCTGAAAAAGAATACGGCTATAAAAGATTACACGGGCTTTCTTCGTAATACCTCACCAGCCTCCTCTTACTGCCTTTGATGTTGGCGTACCTTAATTTTAAAATAAATCTAGTTGACTTTTTTTTTTAAACCACAAAACCTCAAACACAAATAAAAATTACAATAGGGAACCGGGAGGCAGGCTCATAGTGGGTAAATCGTATCTGCCACCAGTTACCTTGCAGTGTTTGGCATGGCTCCATCCACCTCGCCCTGAGGAACAGGGAAGCTCGCAGCAAATTATAAGCCTCAAATTGGACTCCCGGATTTACAGAATGACATATGTTCAGTTTGGCTTTTATTAAAAGGGAGAGTTTGGGTCTATTGTTAAAGTTGTCCTTCCCCCATCCCATTTTTTTTCTTTTCTCTTGATTTCTGAATGTGGGCGATGACCACCCCCCCTCCAGCTCTGGGGACAAGATTCCAGGTGGGGTCTCAGCAGGAGCGGGGGATAACCATTTGTTTTTTAGGGGAAGACAGGCTGCCACTGCTTCCCACAGAATAGCAGCTGTTCGGGGGGCCTGCAGGTGGAAGGTCGGGAGTTGCTGGAATTGACAGTTGTTGAAAATTGATCCTTTGCCAAAGACCTGTGGGTGCCTCCCACTGGTGTCTGCCAAATTCCTGGAAGATGCATTCTTCTGTCCCTCCGCCCCATGATAATTCATTAGGGCTTGCTGCCCTAACCAAGAATCAACTTACAGTGATTCAGACGGAGCTGGGAGCTGTTGGCTGAAAACGCAAGACACAGAGAAGCAGGGGATTGTTTTAGGGAAGGGTGGAAAACCACATATCTGATTGCTCCAGAATATTCTGGAATCAGACCTGAATTCTCAGCCCAGGACTGTTGCTTACTAGTGTGTGATCTGAAGCAACTTTTTTCTTTTCTTTAAGCCTCTGTTCCCACATATCTGTAATGGGAGCAAGAACTTCAAAGAGTGCTTGTGAGGCTTCACAGAGGCTTCAGAGGACAAAACCGGGGATCACTCATACCCATACTTATAGGAAGCTGGAAGACAGCTTATCACGTCACAGCTCACTGATGGCTGAGGCAGCCCAGAGGGGGCAGGGCCTCTTACTGTAGTTCGTTGTTCTGATTTTTTGCGATCTCATGGACTGCAGCACTTCAGGCTTCCCTGTCCTTCACCATCTCCTGGAGTTTGCTCAAACTCATGTCCATTGAGTCGATAATGCCATCCAACCATCTTATCCTCTGTTGCTCCCTTCTCCTCCTGCCTTCAGTCTTTCCCAGCATCAGGGTCCTTTCCAATGAGTTGGCTCTTTGCATTAGGTGGACAAAGTATTGGAGCGTCAGCTTTAGCATCAGTACTTCCAATGAACATTCAGGACTGATTTCCTTTAAGAGTGACTGGTTTGATCTTTCTGCTGTCCAAGAGACTCTCAAGAGTCTTTACCAACACCACAATTCAGAAGCAACAATTTTTCAGCACTCAGCCTTCTTTATGGTCCAACTCTCACATCCATATACAACTACTGGAAAAACCACAGCTTTGATTAGATGGGCTTTTGTCAGCAATGTGATGTCTCTTCTTAATATACTGTCTAGGTTTGTCATAGCTTTTTTTCCAAGGAGCAAGTGTCTTTTAATTTCATGGCTGCAGTCACTGTCCACAGTGATTTTGAAGCCCAAGAAAATAAAATACTCCCATTTTACAACCGAGACAGTAAGGCATATGGAGGTGGCTCAGATAGAACAGGCTGGAAACCCTGCTCCTTTCATGATGTCACACTGAACTGTCCTCTCCAAAAAGTATCTCAAACTCCCATCATTAAAAGGAGAAGTGATCCATACATTTCTTCTATCAACAGTAAGTCCTAGGACTTCCCTGGTGGTCCAGTGGTTAACAAGCGACTTTGCAATTCAGGGGACGACTCAGGTTTGATCCCTGGTAGGGGAACTAAGGTCGCACATGCTGCTGAGCAACTAATCCCACATGCCACAACTAGAGTCCGTGCACCGCAACCAAAGATCCCTTTTGAAGCAACAAAGATCCCATGTGCCACAACTAAAATCTGACACAGCCAAATAAATAAATATTTATAAAGTAAGTCCTAAAGTTCTTAGCTTTTATCCTGATTATCCTGATTTAAAATATTAGCTGCTTCTGCTTCCCATTCAGATGCCTCCCACCAGCTGCTGTGTTCCTATGTTTGTTGCAAATACAGAATCAAGTCTGACCCTCCACGACACCCTGGAGACATATTCAAAAAGGTAGAGAACGCTGACTCTTTGCTTGAAAAGGGAGAGGACAAAGGATCAAATTGTCATAAAAAAGAAAAACAAACCTCAAAAATTTATGTCAGAGTGTCAGCCATGTGTGTCTGTTCTGGTGAGGCTTTCTGTGTCTGTTCAGATACATGTTTGGCCCAGAACTGTGCTCTCCAGACCTTATACTCTCAGGGATGCACCTGTAACTCTCAGCAGATGATTCCAATACTTATAAAAGGTGAGCTTTCCCCAGCAAGGCTTCTCTGCA